GCGGCGGGGGTTGTTGGCGCAGCAGCGCACTTCCGCGTCGCCGACGAACACGCCCCAAAGTGCTTTATACTCCGATAGCGGGCCGGGGCGCGGCGCGGCGCGGCCGACAACGTGCCGCACTATACTAATGGAGCACTTACGACGGCCGCATGATCTCCATGGCCTCCTCGTCCAGCTTCTGGCAGAGCTCCATGACCATGTGCGGGTCCACCCGCGGCTTGTAGGTGCGCTCCTCCAGGACGTCCTCCTCGCACTGGCAGAACGCCGTCGACGTGTACACCAGCGACTGCAAAAGAGAGAGCGAGCGTTTGGCGTGACGTGGTGGACCCTCTTTGGCACCGCCGCGGTCCCCGGAGACCACACCGCCGTCGTCACTCACCTCAAGCTTCTTGATCCTCGCGCAGAACTCCATGACGCGCTGGGTGCCGACCGTGTTGTCCAGGACGGAGCGCTTGAGGGCGGCGCGCCAGTCGAGCGAGGCGGCCAGGTGGAAGACGACCGACACGTTGTCGACGATGCGCTGCTGGTCCGCCTCGCTCAGCCCCATGCAGGGGTCGTTGACCTGGCCCTCGAGCGGCACCACCTTGGCGAAGGCGTCCGGCTGCGCCTTGAGCAGCGGCTCGAACAGCACCACCTTCTTGAGGGTCTCGAGGCGCGCGCCCGGCGCCACGCCCTTCTTGGCGCGCACCAGGATGTAGATGCGGCGGATGTCCGGGCAGCAGCGCAGCAGCTTCTCCAGCAGCACCTTGCCCATGAAGCCCGTCGCGCCCGTCACCAGGACGTCGCGGCCCGCGAAGTACTCGGGGATGCCCGGCGTCGGCGACATGTTGTTGGCTGGCAACAGAAAACGCGGGGGGTAATGGTTAATCGACGAATGAAAGCACACGCATGCGTGATCGGTCGCCATAATTAACAATCTGCTGGCCAAGTACAGATCATTATTCACGATTGTTTATCTGTAGAGCGTATCGAGAAGGAGCGCCATTAGGAGCGCGCCTAAGCCCGCGAGCGCGGTGGCAGGCGCGACGCCGCAACGAGGACACGCGGCCCGGCCGAGGCCCGGCGTCTCCGTGTTCGTGGTTTCCCCTTACCTTGCCATACTTCACGACCGCGCTACCTGCTAGCTTGTCGTCGTTGCCGGCTGCTGCTGCTGTTGCGAAGTGACCCGACCAGCCAACTTTACCCCCCCCCCCTCCCCACACACCACCGGCGGCCCTCTCCTACACTCAGACGTAAGAATTATTCGAAGGGTGAGGAACTAGCCGAAAAAGTGAACAGATGATTGCGT